TCTATATCTGTCTTTTGGTTGATCAGTTTATAATGCTCTTTATTATCCATAAGTGAGTGAGGTCATGTGGTGTTTCTCTTTCATTGATTGGCTTATTTCACTCGGCATGATGTTCTCCAATTCCATCCAGGTTGCTGCAAATGATGAGAATTCCTTCTTTTTTATGGCAGCATAGTATTCCATTGTGTAGATGTACCATGGTTTTTGGATCCAATCATCTGCTGACGGGCACCTAGGCTGTTTCCAAATTCTGGCTATTGTAGATTGTGCTGCTATGAACATAGGGGTGCATATATCCTTTCTGATTGGTGTTTCTAGTTTCTTGGGATATATTCCTAGAAGTGGGATTACTGGGTCAAATGGGAGTTCTATTTTCAGTTTTTTGAGGAAACTCCACACTGTTCTCCACAGTGGTTGCACCAGTCTGCATTCCCACCAGCAGTGCACGAGGGTTCCTTTTTCTCCGCAACCTCGGACAGGCCTATCTCTTTGGGGCGATTGATCACAGAGCAATTGAGAGGGCAGATGGCAGGCTAGGGGAACCCCCCCTCCGAGTGCACAAATTTTGTGCACGGGCCTCTAGTATATAATAAAAGGCTAATATGCAAATTGTCCCCTCAAGAATTCAACCAGGAGTTCAATTGCTCACTTATGATGTGTGCTGACCAATAAGGGGCGATGTGAAACATAGTGGGTGACTAGCTGCAGCAGCAGAGTACTGAGGGAGTGAGGGAAGGAGAAGGCGGAGAGGCAGAGAACCTGATGGGCCCTGATCACTGGCCATGCCTATGGACCCTACCCATGCATGAATTTCATGCACCGGGCCTCTAGTATGGAAATAAACCTAGTCACTTTAAATTACCCTTTACTGGTTTATCTGAGGAACAGAATAAACTGATGAATATAATAGAATCAGAGGCAAATGCCGGAAACCAATCATTGTCTCACTAATAGAAAGACGCTGGTCAGCCTTGAAGCTCTGAAAGGTCAGAGCCAACCACTCCCTAGCTAATTGAGACAATAGTAACTGAGGCAACTTCCCCATCTTGTAATCATGTAAATCCTTACTGATATAATAATCTGCTTATTACCTGCCTAAGGGCTATGGGTGTTTCCCAAAGCTGCTTAAGGGTAATGGGTGTATCCCATAGCAGCCTCAATAAAAGGGAGAGCAAGGCCAGAGCCTGGAGAGTCTTCCCACTAGAGGTTGACTCCCGCCTGGGCCCCCATTTGTCCCAAATTAACTCTTTTCTAGTCTCTCCATTTTAGTGTGTGGCCTCTCCAGAAACCAGACCCTGAGTGGGCCCTAATCACGGGGGCTGTGTTAAGGCAGTGTTTTTCAACCTTTTTTGGGCAAAGGCACACTTGTTTCATGAAAAAAATCATGAGGCACACCACCATTAGAAAATGTTAAAAAAATTTAACTCTGTGCCTATATTGACTATATATAAAGTAATTCTCTTGAATAGGAATCAAATAAACACAAAGGAAGTATTTTATAATTACTTTATTATTTAATATTAAGTAAACAAAATAGTGAAAAATTATAAAATTCTTGTCTTGTCTGCACCTACGGCACACCAGGCAACATCTCGCGGAACAGCGGTTGAAAAACGCTGTGTTAAGGGTTCCCACAGGCAAAGAAAGGGAATGGATTGATAATTATCAGGGGGAATGGGGTGTGGTAGTGCAGAAAGAGACTGGACTAAAATCATAGGGGGGTAGGTAAGGGCAAAGGGTGGGATGGGAACCAAGTGGAGGGGAGTTATGGGGGGAAAGAAGAAACAATTGTAATAATCTGATTTATTAAATTTTTAAAAAAATTAAAGGCTACCCATAATTCCACACACCTGTTTTCATGTTTTGAATAATTTTAAAATTAAAATTAAAATACAAAGAAATATATCATTTCCTAAGTATATGTACCCCCAATCACCTCCACCAAAAACAAAATCTTGGGAGAGGAAGGGGAATAGAAAGACAACTTTTTCAAGTATATATTGTTCTAATTCAGAGAATCATTTCCTCTCTGGCAACTTTCCTTGCCTAGCAGCATCAGTATTCCCCTTCAAGACAGCAGAACAGTAGAGCTCTTTCAGGTATCAAGTTATGTTATCAGTCAAGCATTCACAAGCATCTGTTTGAGGCCTACTTGGTGCTTAGCATATATTAGCTGCTAAGGAGACACAATTTAAAGAGATACTCTATTCTGAACAGTTGACAGTCATTTAAAAATGGAGACATGTATTAACAGGTTATTATCATATAATTTTTTATTGATTTTAGAGAGAAGGGAAAGGAAGAAAGAGAAACACTAATGCAAGAGAGAATCATTGATTGGTTGCCTCCTGCATACACCACCCTTGGGATCGAGCCTACAACCAGGGCTTGTGCCCTGACCAGGAATTGAACTTGTGACCCTTTGGTGCATGGACAATGCTCAACCAACTGAGCCACACCAACCAGGGCAATTATCATATAATTTGATAAGTTCTAAGGAAGAGCTATGAACAGAGTGCTATGAGACTTGAACTCTCACCAAAGTTTTTAAAAATTCTTTTAGAGCCCAGCTGGCATAGCTCAGTAGTTGAGTACCAACCTATGAACTAGGAGGTCACAGTTCAGTTTCCCATCCGGTGAGGATTTAACAATAAAAATAAAATAAAAAACAAGATCTGTCAACAGACTATTTCAGAGGGAAAGGGGTCAGGGGTGGGAAGAGATTAACCAATGAACTTAAATGCATAGCCCATGCACAGATAACAGTGCAGAGAAGGCCTGAGGAGGGGGAAAAGGAGACATCTAATACTTTCAAGAATAAAGATAAATTTTTTTAAAAACCAAGATATGTTGCCCTGACCAGTTTGGCTCAGTGGACAGAGTGTTGGTCCACGGGTCCCAGGTTCAATTCTGGTCAAGGGCATGTATGTACCTTGGTTGCAGGCTTGACCCCAATGGGGGGCATGCAGGAGGCAGTTCACCAATGTTTCTCTCTCATCAGTATTTCTGACTCTATTCCTCTCCCTTCCTCTCTGTAAAAAAAAAAAAAAAAAAAAAAAAAAGATATGTCAAAAAATAATACCAACAGGCTGAGATTATTTTTTTTAATATATTTTATTGATTTTGTACAGAGAGGAAGGGAGAGAGATAGAAAGTTAGAAACATCAATGAGAGAGAGTCATCGATCAGCTGCCTCTTGCACACCCCCTACTGGGGATATGTTCGCAACCAAGGTACATGCCCTTAACCGGAATTGAACCCGGGACCCTTCAGTCCACAAGCCGATGTTCTATCCATTGAGCCAAACCGGTTTTGGCTGAGATTATTTTTTTAATTAATCTTTATTGTTCAGATTATTATAATTGTTTCTCCACCCCATGCCCCAAGGAACCCCCACCCTGATCCAGGACACCCTTCTGGGCAAACCAGCCAGTCCCCATCTGTGCACCAGGCCTTTATCCTATCACACCATCACTCCAACAAACAAGATGGCTGTCCCCATATGGGCCAAGATGGCCGCCACAAGATGGCCAGCAGGGGAGGGGAACTGGGAGGGACCAGGGCTGCAAGAGGCGATCAAGCCTGCAGGAGAGGGCAGTTGGGGGACACCAGGCCTGCAGGGGAGGCAATTAGGGGTGACCAGGCCTGCAAGGGAGGACAGTTAGGGGCAAAAAAGCTGGCAGGGGAGCAGTTAGGGGATCAGGCCTAAAAAGGCAGATAGACATTCCTCAAGGGATCCCTGATTGGAGAGGGTGCTGGCTGGGCTGAGAGATTAACATCCTCTGTGCACAAATTTTGGGCACCGGGCCTCTAGAGAATACATAAAAATAAGTGGAACAGTCGTAGCCGGTTTGGCTCAATGGATAGAACGTCGGCCTGTGGACTGATGTTTAGTTTACAGTCAAGGGCACATGGCCGGATTGTGGGCTCCATCCCTAGTAGGGGGCATGCAGGAGGCAGCCCATCGATAATTCTCTCTCATCACTGATGTTTCTATCTCTCCCTTTCCCTTCCTCTCTGAAATAAATAAAAATATATTTAAAAAAATAAAACATGAATCATTTAAAGAAAAATAAGTGGAACAAAAGTATATTGGAAAACTCTGTATATTTTAACCTCACTAGCTATGTCACTTTTAAATCTCTCACCTAGCTGAAATACCATTTTCACTTTACTTGGGTTTTCCAGGTATGGAAGAGCTAAAGTCTCAGTAAGACACAAGACCATTCCTAAATAAAACTGCTTACTTGTATTACGTTCAAGTTTTCAGACCTTTCAGTAATTCTTTTTCTTCTTTTATCAGTATAAGAAAGTGAAAATGTAGAAATAGATCAAGTAAAAAAGATAAAAAAAATTCTTGTTTTTATAAATGTTTTCTTCCTCAACTTTTACATTTGGCAAGTGTTGAGGGGAAAAAACCGAGTAGTAGCTTAGGTACAACAAAACATGGGCAGCCCTAGCTGGTTTGTCTTGGTTGGCCTGTGGACTGAAGGATCCCCGGTTTGATTGCAGTCTAAGGCACGTTTCTTTGTTGCAGGTTCAATCCCTGGCTCTGGTTGGGGCTCGTGTGTAGGTAATCAATCGATATGTCTAAAAATTAATGGAAACTATCCTCAGTGAGAATTAACAAAAAATAAAAATATAAACATGGGCAAAGTGAAGGTATCACAGAAAAAAAATTTTTTTGAAAAGCTATAGTTCCGTTCTAGTTACTGGTAGAGAAGTATACCATATATACTTCCCCATTATGATGATAACAATATTAAAAAAGTTAAACTCTACCATCCTGGCCAGGGTACGTTTGGTTGGGTATCGTCCCATGCCCCAGGTTGGGGGTTCGTGCAGGAGGAAGCCAATCCATGTTACACTCTCACATTGATGTTTCTGTCTCTCCCTCTCCCTTCTTCTCTCTCTTAAAAATCAATAAAAATATTTTTTTAAAATTAAACTCTGCCAATAGTAGCCCAGTTGTCTGAGACATCAAGGCAAATGGTAGGTAGGATAGGTGTGAAGTGGCTGAAATTGCACTAGAGGGTTTTAATATTTGAACAAATAATCATTCTGCTATAAAATAGTGCTTAAGTCCTAGCTGGTTTGGCTCAGTGGATAGTGAGTCAGCCTATGGACTGAAGAGTCCCGGGTCCTATTCCAGCAAGAGCACATCCCTCAGTTGCAGGCTCTGGCCTTCGTCAGGGCATGCTGGAAGCAACCAACCGATGTATCTCTCTCACATCAGTGTTTCTCTCTATCTCTCCCTCTCCCTTCCACTCTGTCTGAAAATCAATGGAAAAATATCCGTGATGAGGATTAATAACAAAAATAATTAACTTTTAATTAATTTAAAAAGTAAATACTTAAGGTCAACTTCCTGCCAGAAAACATCCAGGTTCCTTAATATTCACAAAAGTCCAAGACCCCTGATATGCTCAAAAATTTTAAAAGTAAAATTCTCTTATCCAAATTAGATTTTTACCAAATTGCTAATTACAATATTATTAGTTACTGGCAATAATAAAAATGAGGATTCTTCAGCTCTGCCTCCCCTCCTTTCCCTCTCTGGAAAACCTTAATATTATTAATCACTTGGTCCTTGACATATGGCTACTTCCGGAGAGAGCAGCTGACATTTAGCAATAGGACATTTGAGGCTCTGGGAAAAGAGAAGTTCTTGGCCACAAGAAACAAGACAAAAACCCTGCCCTTGGAAAAAAATGCCAAAAATTTCTAGACAGATCAACTTTTAGCTTTAAAAGATTCTGATATAAGAACAAACCAGAGGATGGAATCAGGATAGGTTTTTGAAAAATCTACACTATAAAGCTACAAGATACCTATTTTCTTAAAAATCCATGCTAAATTATGGTTCCTGAGTGAATATGAGTATTTCCCCGCCTTAGGATCGGTTTAAGCTAACTTGGCTCTAAAATCTTTTACTATTTGAAGACAGAGAATGTCGTGACAGTGGCTAACTTTATGAAGCAACAGGCTAAGTGCTCTACATGCATTAGGTTATTAATCCTTTTAACAATGCTAGAAGCTCTAAACAATAAAAATTCTAAAATAAGAATTTTCTTTAGAAACTTTGAAAATAAGTATTAGAATTTTTGTTAAAAAAAACTTTAAAGGACTCATGAATTCTTTTTTTTTTTTTAATTTATTGATTTTTTTACAGAGAGGAAGGGAGAGAGATGGAGAGCTAGAAACGTCGATGAGAGAGAAACATCGACCAGCTGCCTCTTGCACCCTCCCCCACCGGGGATGTGCCCGCAACCAAGGTATCGATACATGCCCTTGACCGGAATCGAACCTGGGACCTTTCAGTCCGCAGACCGACGCTCTACCACTGAGCCAAACCGGTTTCGGCCTCATGAATTCTTTTTAATATGAGAGAAGGACTGTATGAGTTATTAAAACCTTTTTTGGTCTAAAATAAAAATATGAGTAAAAGCCTCAGTGTGTTAGAAAACTGTAATTCTATCCTATCAATCGCTATTTGGGAAATCCATGTAAAAACAAAAAGACAGTGAAAGGCTGTAACTGCTGAATTAAAAAATCCTCAGAATCCTAGTTAAGAGTCTTTGTTTTATGGTTTATTAGAGTTCTCACAACTTATACCCAAAAGAATGTAACCTAAGGAGCCTCACTTAACTTTCTTTTAGTTACACAGACATAGAGCTAAGAATATAGGCATATAACATAAAATACATGTTTGTTTGTTTTTAATCCTCACTTGAGGATGTTTTTCCATTGATTTTTAGGTGGAGTGGAAGTGAGAGAGAAACATTGCTGTGAGACCAATTGATTGGTTGCCTATCACACACGCCCCAACCAGAGCCAGGGATCAAGCCTGCAATCAAGATACATGCCCTTGACTAGAATCGAATCCAGGACCCTTCAATCACCAGGCTGACACTCCTTCCACTGAGCCAAACTGGCTAGGGCACCATAAAATATTTTTAACTACCCATGGTAGTCAAGTTAATTATAATTTAGTAAATTCAAAAATTTAAGATCAAGTTACAAATATTGAGTATATGCTTTAGAAAACTAAAATTAGGATAATTAATAACAGAGTAAGAATAAAGACTAGTACTAATATGTAGAAATTACCCATCACACTTCCAAATTTATAATTTTGCCAGCATATTAAACATAAAAAAAAGAATGTAGTCCTGACACAAAAACACCTTTGTTTTTATACTTTGGTGAGATAATATTCTTCATATTTGGCTCCAAATTAGTTATTTCTCCTGTACAAAAGAAAGAGAAGAGGTGCCTGCTGAATTGGCTCAAGTAGTGACAGGAAGCCCAGACCAACTGGTTGTCCAGTTTTGTGTAATATACTGGCGACCCAGAAGGGATAGAAGAGGGACAGTCCCCTTGGGATTAAGCTCAAAAATCACCTCCTTTGAGAAGCTTGCCCTGATATATCAAAGCTTCCTTTGGTTCCATTTAAAAACTTAAAGCTTTAGAGATTTAAAACGGTGGGAGAGCCCTGGCATTGGGCTCAGTGAATAGAGTGCCGTTGGCCTGCAGACTGAAGGGTCCCAGGTTCGATTCCAATCAAGGGCACATGCCCAGGTTGTGGGCTTGATCCCCAGTAGAGGGCACGCAGGAAGCAGCCAATCAGGGATTCTCTTTCATCATGGAGGTTTCTGGCTCCCTATCCCTCTCCCTTCCTCTCTGTAAGAAACCAATAAAAAATATATATATTTTAAAATCCTGAATAATCAACTGAAGACTAGCTGGAAAGAACACTGATAACCAAGGATGGAAATAGAGACTGCATAGAGAGCATAGAAACTGGGACAGAGGTGTGAAAGGCCTGGCCAGGCTCCCACAGACAGCAGCTGAAGGTCCAGAGAGATACCTCAGATCTGGGGGGTGCCCCTGACAACTCTGGGGTCTAATCCCCAAGATGGGCCCCCCATCAGAGGGCACCAAAACAGAACGGTGGCTACATAATATCTGGCTGTGAAAAGCAGCAGGATTGTTCTCCGCTGGGGAAAGACAGCCAGAAATTCAGTCACCTTCTTAAAAGGACCAAGAAAATTCCCCGTGTCTGGCAGAGGGAGAGCAGGGTGAGCAGAAGCCAGGGTTGAGGGCTCTGGGCTTAGAGCTCAGAGGACGGCACCCTGGTTTCCTGTACTGCAGAGGTCATCTTTCTCACACAGACATTTGCTACAAAAGACTGAGAATAACAATTAGCTTCCAGGCAGAAGCAGTGCCCCACCCTGTGTGTGTGTGTGTGTGTGGGGGGGGGGGGGGGGGGGCCTTACCACACCTGAGGACAATTGCCTGAGGGCTACTGGAGCCTGAATCTAATCAGTCTGCAGGCAGAGGCAGATCTAGAGACTTTCAGCCTTTGCCTAATCTAATTAGTCAGAAATAGCATTTGACACTGTCCTGCACTAACAATAGAGAGGTGTAGCAGATCTACCTAATAGCATTCACAAACCTAAACAAACAAACCAGACAAAATGGAGAAAAAAAAGAAAAAAAAGAAAAGAAAAACGAGAATTCTCCAGAAGAAGGGATAAATGAAATGGAAATTAAAAAAATTTATCTGATATAGAGTTCAGAGTAATGCTGGTAAAGATGCTCAACAGCAGGAGCTGCTGCTTGCACCCACTGCTGGCATGGCCCCAATCACTCCACACCTCAGTGGGTGCAAGCGGGGCCAGCATCATCAGTGCATGGGAGTGGCGGCGGAGGGAAGGGTGTGTGTGTGTGTGTGTGTGTGCCAGCAGAGGGGACCGGGGACCGGGGGCTGCAGTTGGAGGGGTGTGGAGGATGGGCTGAGACCCGCCCTATGTCCACTTCAGCCTTGCAGCGCACACAGTTCCTTTCAAGATGCACAAATTTGTGCACTGAGCCCCTGGTACAATAGAAAAAACATTTGCATTGTAGGCAGAATAACCTAGTTCTGGGTGGAAATCATGGCTCCAGGCTACGAAGTTTCAATTGTGGAAGATAAATAAATCCCAAATACCAGGGCCTCCACTTGGGGGCAGGGCTGGCCTGCAAACCACCACAGGGCCCTCGCCCAGGCCACCCCATGCCCCAAGGGGGCCCCCACCCTTATCTGGGACACCCTTCAGAGCAAACCAGCTGGCCCCAACCCATGCACCAGGCCTCTATCCTATCTAATAAAAGAGTAATATGCAGATTGACCATCATTCCAACACACAAGATAGCTGCCCCCATGTGGTCAAAGATCCTGCTCCCATGTGGACACAAGATGGCCACCACAAGATGGCCAGCGGTGGAGGGCAGTTGGGAGGGACCAGGCCTGCAGAGGAGGGAAGTAGGGGGCAAACAGGCTGGCAGGCAGAAGCAGTTAGGGGCAATCAGGAAGGTAGGCAGGCAAGCAGTCGCGAGCCAGCAGTCCTGGATTGTGAGAGGGATGTCCAACAGCCCGTTTAGGCCCAAACCCATTGGGATCGGGCCTAAACGGGCAGTCGGACATCTCTCGAGGGGTCCCAGATTGGAGAGGGTGCAGGCTGGGCTGAGGGACACATACCACCAAGCACGAATTTTGTGTACCAGGCCTCTAGTCTCTATATATAAAAACCTAAGCAACCGGATGACCACACGACCAGTCAACCAGACCACTGCTTGGTAGCTATGACATTAACTGAGCACCAGGGGGCAGACACTTAACACAGGAGCTGTCCCCTGGTGGTCAGTGAGCCTCCTCAGCAGGAGCGCCACTCAGCTGACAGATGGGTGTGTGCCAGACACCAGGCTGGTGGCTGGCAAGCACAGCTGTGGGGACGCAAGCCTCTTCCACAGACACTGCCCCCTGCGTGCCTGACTGGTGGCGGCAGGCGCAGTGGGGCCAGGATGAGTGGGAGCGGTGCGACACCCAGCCAGGCTCAGGCTCCTCTCTGGCCACCTGCCACTTTGCACACTACTTTGTGCTGTGTGGGATCGATGCGAACAGGCTGGAGCCCCATGAGCTGCCAGTTAAGGCTGGCTGTGGTGGCGCAAAGGTCCACTGATCCCCACAGGCCAGGCCGAGGGACCCCACTGGTACAGAAATCTGTGCACCGGGCCTCTATTTTAAAAATAAACATTGACTCGTGCATGCGTGATACCTATAAAGCTCTCATTGATGCCAATCACGAGTGTTTTAATTTTATAATACTACTAGTGGCCCAGTAGACGGATTTGTGCACAAAGAAAGGAAATTAATTAGAAGGTGGCCGGCAGGGCAGGACTGGGCTAGAAGGGCCGGACATACTCTGGAGCCAACCTCCTGTGATCCTTCCCTAGTCGGCTGTACCTGGGGTGGCACTGCAGCACAAAGGGTGTCTGCAGAGTGAGGTGAAGTCCGTTGGCCTGGCCTACAGGGATCTGGCCAAAACCGGCTCTTTGACATTCCTCAAGGAGCTTGGCAGCTCCTGCTTTGAGTGTCTGCCCCCTGGTAGTCAGAATGCATCATAGGTAGCGAGCAGTCAGATGGTCGCTTAGCCTTCTATATATGTAAATATTACATATACTATTTTTAAAATTTTTTTATTGATATAGAGGAAGTAAAAGAAACATCAATGAGAGACAATCATTGATTGGCTGTCTCTTGCATGACCCCTACTGGAAATTCAACCTGTAACCCAGGCATGTGCCCTTGACCAGAATTGAACCCTGGCCTTTTTAGTCTGCAGGCTATCCACTGAGCCAAACCGGCTAAGGCTACATATACTATTTTGATGTGTAATTTTTTGCAGTAACGTAATTAAGACACAAATCTTTCTTCTAATTAATTTCCTTTCAATGTGCACAAATTCATGCACCAGGCCACTAGTAAAGTAATAATAATGACCTTCAACACATATCAAAATAAGCAATGTCCTTATTTTCATAAACCATTCTAAAGGAGATGAGTGCTGTCTGTGTATAAGTCACATACAGGATTACTTTAACTCATCCCACAAGTATTTTTTGAAAGTCCATTAGGGGCCGTAACTGGTTTGGCTCAGTGGTGGAGCGTCGGTCTGAGGACTGAAGGGTCCCGGGTTCGATTCCGGTCAAGGGCATGTACCTTGGTTGCGGGCACATCCCCGGTAGGGGGTGTGCAAGAGGCAGCTGGTCAATGTTACTCTCTCATTGACGTTTCTAGCTCTCTGTCTCTCTCCCTTCCTCTCTGTAAAAAAATCAATAAAATATATTAAAAAAAAAGAAAAAAAAAAAAAAAAAAAAAAAAAAACCAATAGGGGACAGTCATTATGTTAAACAATGTGCCTATGATGGTAAGCAAAAGCAGACACAGTTCCAATTCTCACGGAGCTTCTGGTCATGCAACAGCACAGAATGTGAATTTGTGGTAAGTGATATAAAGGACAGTACATATTACTCTGAGAGCCAGTAACAGAGATTTCACCTAACTAGGGACATCAAGGAAGGCCTTCCAGAGAAAGTGAAATCTGAGAGCTACAGGATGAAGTGGGAGTAGCAGTGGAGGCTATTTCCAGACAGAGGAAAGCAGGAATGGGCCAGAGGCAGGATCAAAAGGCCAGTGTGCCTGGAGCAAAGATGAGGTGTGAGAATTAGCTAGGCTTTTAGACCACTCAAAGGCTGAGGCTTTGCAGATCATATTCAAGAGTTGTAATGACCCCAAGAACAATGAAAAAGTCACTGAATGGTTTTTTTATAAATGCTTATTTGGGAGACAGGTAGGCTAAAAGGAAGATGCAGCCAGATATGCAGTTTGCCTTTGGCTTCGGGAATAAGAGATAAAAAATGCAGAATGGTCAGGTCGAAAAAAGAAATTCTGTCAGAATATGAAGTAACTTGGGGACTTGGGTGGTAAAGGTGGAGGTGAAGAAATTAAACAATTCAAGAGATATTCAGAAAACCTGATGATCCTAGATAATAAAAGCCAAGCAATCAAATGGCAGAATGACCAATCGATCAGTTACTATGATGCACACTGACCACCAGCGTAAAAGCTCAACGCAGGAGCTGTCCCCTGCTAGTCAGTGCGTTCCCTCAGTGGAAGCACCACTTGGGAGCAGCCACTCAGAGAGCAGGTCCACAGCCACTCAGCTGATCGGGATGAGCAGCATTCCTACAGCGAATTGATCCCTGCAGGCCATGCCCCCCCCACAGTGCACAGATTCTGTGCACCAGGCCTCTAGTCCTATATAATAAAGACGGAATATGCTAATTGACCCTCATGCCATCGCAAAGATGGCAGCACCCACAGCCAATAAGGAGAGGATATGCTAATTGACAGCCCCGCCCTCAAATATGGCGGCACCCACAGCCACAAGAAGGTGGCACCCAGTCCACTCAGCCTCCCAACTGCCCAGGGCAGCCCAAGGTGCAGATAACTAAGGCCAGACAAGGCTTGTACTGCTGGCAGTGGCAGCAGCAGAGGTGTGATGGGGTGTTGCCTTCCCCTGATCGCCAGATCGCCTCCTGCACCTGAGGGTCCCAGACTGTGAGAGGGGGCAGGCTGGGCTGAGGGACCCCACTCCAGTGCATGAAAATTCACTATGTATATATAATATACATGGGCTGTGAGAGAGTAGTGTCCATGAATATTTCTGGGTTTCTGATTCACATGACTATATGAGAGGTAGATACCATTCAGAGGGATCTGCTCCAGAAACATCTGTAAAGCAATTTCCACACCCCAAAAAAGGGCCTAAATGTATTTCATTTTTGCCTTAACCAAGTTTGACCGCCTACTTTACTTTTGAAATATTGTTCCAAAAGATTTTTTACTATTTCCAAAAATCAAATTGCCTCTCAAAAGTACAAGATTTTTCCAACATTGAAAATACTTCAAAGATTCCACCACAGCTTTGAAATAAATTCTAAATGAGTTCTAAAATTGGTTTGAGCAATGGACTAGCAGTTTGGAATAAATGTTATTTCCTATGAGGACTACTATTATAAAACTACACCCATTTGCAGTTTAATTTAAATACTTTAAAGACATCTTTACAGTTAAGAGTACTCTTCCATGATATTAAAGTAAAATGTAAAATTTTACCAGCATTGCAATAGTTGGAACTATAATACTTAAAACTATGCTGCTTTTATGTTTGTCTCAACATTTTGAAATGCCAGTAGAAAACAAGTTGTTTCCACCCAGTCCTTGCTAATAGCCATCACATTCATTGGATATAAACGGTTTTTACTAAACCACTTTATCAATACTTTAATATTTGCTTTCCTTGGTTTTAATTTTTAAATTTGCAACCTAATGCCATCTTCACAGTGAAATACTGATGCCATTAAGTCTTAGAAACATACAAACTTCAAATCTGAGTAATCCAAAAAAAAAGAAGTGAATGGAAAAGTTTTGTCCCTTTAAAATCAATCTAACACATACCTAAAGTGTATTTCTAATTCTGGCACGATTGGCTCCTAAGCCTCCTGTTTGCACTAAGCCCTGACTAGCATTTTATTAATGCTTAACTGCGGTTACCAGAATGTTACCATGCCTTGTACAAAGCAGCAGAATTCTTTTTCCCCGGTGCTGATTTTATCTCAAAACTCCAAAAGGAAAGACTGTGGTCTGAGGCGAAATATGAAAAATGTTATCTCCACAAGTGAGGAGAAACGGGTTTTTAAACAATCAAGTATTAAATAAGCCCATTAACCAATATTGGTTTGTAGAACCAGATTGTCTCCATACTAGAAACTGTACTATCAAGTGTGGTTCTTGGGAACAAGGGCTGGAGAGTTTGAAACGGGTGACCATCTTATCTCAGATGAGGAAATTCCATGTTTTACTAAAACATGGAACCAGACCATATGGCTCGCTCTATCTGGGCATGGCTAGGCCGGGGTGGGTAACGCCACGGAAGAGGCAGGGGAAATCTGGAGGACTCCCATCTTCTCAGAAGGTGTGGGCCCTGTCTGTCCCGCAAAACTGAGCGGGGTGAGAGGCCGGCTTCCCCCCACCCACGCCCTCAAAATGACACCGCGCACCACTTCCCCCGGGAGCCGGGCGCGGCGGACGGACAATGGGGCTCCGGAAAGATGGAGACCGGAATCGCGGGGCAGGGAAGTGGGCGTGCGGAGCAGGAAGGGCCAGGCCCGGACTTCCAGGGCGTGGGCAGCCGGCCTTCAGAACGCGCCCGCGGCGGCCAGGCGCTGCCGGCCAGGCTCGCGGGAACCGAGGCCCGACCCCCGGGAGCGCGGCCCGCGGGCGCCCGCCGCGGCCTGGCCGCCCGGAGCCGCCGGCGCAGGAGGAGCCGCGGAGCGAGCGGAGGCAAGGGGCCGGGGCGGGGGCTTCGGGGAGGGCGGCGGGGTCTGGGGCGCGGGCTCCCCGGGCTCGGGCAGGCCCACCCCCGGCCGCTTACCTGCTCCTCCTCCGGGGTCAGCTCCGGCGCCATGTCGGCCTGGGGCGCGGTCGCGGGCTCCATCCCGCCGCCAGCCCGCTCCGGGCGCCGCGGCTCAGCAGCGCGGGGCCGGCCCGGGCATGCCGCGCCCGGCGCCGCGGGCTCCTCGCCGAAGGCTCCCGGCGCCCGGTCCTCGGGGCGGAGACCTGTGTGCTCTCCTCCCGGAACACTGCCGCGGAGAGCCGGCCGCCCGGGAGGGGAGAGGAGGAAATGCAGACCCGGCCGGGCCTCTCCGCCGAGCGCGCCGGGCCCTGGGCTGCGGTCCGGCCACCCGCCCGCCGCCGCAGCGCCTCAGGCCGCGGCCGGGGCCGAGCGGAGAGACGGAAAGCCGCGCCTCCCTCCCGCCTCGCCGCCCCCGCGGCCGCCCGAGCCCCCCCGACGCTCCATTGAGAAACCGCGTTCCGTTCATTCAGGGGCGGCGGCGCGCTGGGCTGGCGGGAGGGGGCGGCAGAGAGGAGGGCGGGTGCCTGCGGGAGCGGGGCGGAGAGGAGGGCGGAAGGCGGAGTGCGCGTTCTCTGGGTTAAGTTCCCTGCAGGAGGGAGAGGGTGCTCCGCGGTGACCCGCCGGGGGACCCAGGGAGGAAGGCGCCTGCCCCGCCGGCTGCCTTCCTGGAGAAGGCCGCCGCGTCCCGGCTGCTCGAGGGGCGAACCTCCGACCAGCCCCGCCCCGGCCCTCGCTTTGCCACGGCATCCCGGAATCCATCGCCCACGGAGCTAACGTTAGCACCTCCAACCACAGCCCGGGCTCGGAAACCGCATCCAGAACACGGCAGCTTCTGCAAGCTTCTGATTTCCCCGCAGGCGGCACCACTATTGGGGGCATCTTACTGCGCGGCCTGGGCCAGTTCCGAGTCACAGGAAAGGCTGGCTCCGCTGTTTCTGAGTCATTCTAGGCCAAAAATAAATAATATAAAAGGGTTGAAGCCCAACGGAGGGTCTTCAGACCGCTGAGGAAGTTCCTTCTAGGACTTTAAAAACAGCCTCTGACTTCACTCATTTCTACATCATTGCAGCAGGAACTTCTGGTGCCTGCTCTTAGTTAAAAAAGAACCCCCTGGTACTCAAGGATGTTATTTTACCCTTTGCATCAGGAAGGCTGGCTCTGGGTTGACTTCTTAACCACTTACAGGAGTTTCATTATTACAACCAGGTGCTCCTCTGGAAGACAATGTCTATTTAACAAGAAAATTATATACCAGGCCCTGGGGTTACTTTCACATGTTAAAATTTGGAATTATCCCTAAGCTATATTATAAGGTGAAAAAATCAAAACTCAAGTATGCATTTTATGCTGTCACATGTATAAAGAAAAAAAAATGAACATACATTTGTAAACTTATTTATAGAGGCTCAATGCACAACATTCATGCACTGGGGAGGAGCCTGATCCTTAGCCCGGTCTGTGCCCTCTTGCAGTCCTGGAACCCTGGGGGATGTCCACCTGTGGGCTAGTGGGGCAGTGGGACATCCCTCTCTCTTGCAGTCTGGTACTTACACCCGCCTGCTTGCTGCTCCTTACCACTGGGCTGGCTGCTCCTTAGCACTGCCACGGAGGCCCCAGGCCCCATGCACTCACCAGCCTTGAGCCTGGCTTCTGGCTGAGCGATGCTCCTCCTGTGGGAGCACACTGACCACCAGGGGGGCAGCTCTTGTGTTGAGCGTACAGGCTTTCTGCTTTCTGGTTGATTTGCATATTAGGGTTTTATTATATAGGATTACAAAAGGTTTGGGAGGACACACAAGAAAGGTAACAGTTGTTGTTTCTCATGAGGGGAACCAGGAGTCATAAACAGAAGGGATTGGGAGACTTTTCCCTATACGTCTTTTGTACATTTTGAGGTGTTTTTTTTTTAAAAAACCTTTTTAGCAGAAGCCGGTTTGGCTCAGTGGATAGAGCGTCCGTCTGCGGACTGAAGGGTCATGGGTTCGATTCCAGTCAGGGGCATGTACATTGGTTGCGGGCACATCCCCAGTGGGGTGTGTGCAGGAGGCAGCTGGTGGATGTTTCTCTCTCATCGATGTTTCTAACTCCCTATCTCTCTCCCTTCCTCTCTGTAAAAAATCAATAAAATATATATATTTTTTTTTTAAATCTTTTTAAGCACTCATACACAAAAAGTGAAAATGTTTGTACTTTCATAAACTCAACATACCCATGTAACTAACACACAGATCAAGAAATTAGAGCACATGTGTCAAACACAAGGCCCGCGGGCCAAATCCGTCCCGCCAGGCCTTGCAATGTGGCCCGCACTGCGCTGTCATCACTGCACTCCGCTGCGTTTCCATCACAATGACAGTTTATGACTGTTCAGTAAACCATTCGGCCTGCGATTTAGGCTGGATTTTAGATTTTGGCCCCTTCTCTGATTGAGTTCGACACCCCTAAATTAGAGCATTCCCAACTCTCCAAAGCCCCAGTTAGTCACTACCCCCAAGTAACTACTCTCCTCAAGAGTAATCACTATCTTGGTTTCTAACATCATTGTGTATGTGTAAATTTTCCATGTAGATGTATAACCTTTTCAAAAAAAAATTTTTTAAAGTAACAAATACAGTTGACCCTTGAACAAAATGGGTTTGAAGTACACAGGTACACTTATGTGTGAAAATTATTGCATAGTTATTGCAGGAAGAGATGGCTGTGGGACTAAGCTGGAGGAAGAAATGGTGGGACCTGAGTAGTACAAGCCACCGAGTAGACACAGAAGAGGATGTTTTGTCCAGTAACCTTCAGTACACCAAGGGCCAGTGATTTATCCACAGTCACACAGCAAATTAATTTGTATTGAGCTTAAACCTGAACCCAGACATTCTTACTCCTAGTACAGGGAGAATTAATAAAGGAAGAAGTTTAACAGAGTGAACCCTGAACAGAAAACTCAGGTTTTTAGAGGCACAGTTGTATGTAAGGGCCTGTGGTTGTATAAGGGAACAGTTCTCAGAACCATTGCCTTTTACAGTCCTCACAGGACAATGTTTGGAAGTTGCTGAGCAGAGATGTGGATAACAAAACCAAGTGCAAGGCAGCTGGCTGGATTTTCTCTAAGAGGTAAATCTTAGGATAATCAGAGTAAAAAGGCTAGTCTATGCAGGCTCAAATCAAGGAAATCAAGTATGATATTGTCATCCTGCTCAAACAGATCTTAGAGATGCAAAATAGTTTGTAATAGCAAAAGAATGAAATAAAATAATGGCTTATCAGTAGGAAATTCTGTAAAAAAAAATTATAGTATTATACATACATACACTGAAATAATTTCACATTTATTGTGTCCTTACCACATGCCAGAAACTATTGTGAATGACTTTCTTCTACTCTCACTATCATAACATGACATAGCTGAAATTATGATGTGTGTGTGTGTGTGTGTGTACTAGAGGCCCCGTGCACAAAATTCGTGCACTGGGGAAGGAGGGTGTCCCTCAGCCAGCCTGTATCTTCTCCAATCTGGGACCTCTCAAGGGATGTCCGACTGCCTATTTACAATCCAGGACTGCCAGCTCCCAACTGCTCACCTGCCTGCCTTCCTGACCACCTAACTGCTTCTTCCTGCCAGCCTAATCACCCCCTAACCACTCCCCTGCCAGTCTGATTGACACCTAACTACTCCCCTGCCGGCCCGATTACCCCTGCCTTCATCTGATGGCCTAGTCTCCCCTAACTGCCCTCCAATGCTGGCCTGATTGCCCACAACTGCCCTCCCCTGCAGGCCATCTTGTGGTGACCATCTTGTATCCACATAGGGCAGCCATCTTGTGTGTTGGAATAATGGTCAATTTGCATATTACTCTTTTATTAAATAGGCTATTAGATCCACATGTACAAACATAGCCTTTTTGCATTTTTTAAAATATATATTTTATTGAGTTTTTACAGAGAGGAAGGGAGAGAGATAGAGAGCTAGAAACATTGATGAGAGAGAGACATCAACCAGCTGCCAATGTACATGCCCTTGACAGGAATCGAACCCGGGACCCTTCAGTCCGCAGGCCGACGCTCTATCCACTGAGCCAAACCGATTTTGGCATAGCCTTCTTGCATTTTTAATGCTTGGCTGTAGGTCCTCTTAAGGAAGGCTAAGGTAGGGTTGGGCGAGTATTGGTAACAATCACATTTTTTAAAAAATATATATTTTATTGATTTTGTACAGAGAGGAAGGGAGAGAGAGAGTTAGAAACATCGATGAGAGAGAGTCATCGATCAGTTGCCTCTTGCACACCCCCTACTGGGGATATGCTTGAAACCAAGGCACATGCCCTTGACCGGAATCGAACCCGGGTCCCTTCAGTCCCCAAGCCGATGCTTTATCCATTGAGCTAAACCAGTCTCGGCAACAATCACATTTTTATTAAATTAACATGAGGGTGGGGAGAAGAAAGGGTACAAGTTGATGGAAGAAGATTAGACTTTGGAAGGTGAGCACACATAGAGTATACAGATATATTATAAAATGGTATATGTTAAACATATGTTATTAACCAACTAGAGGCCCAATGCATGAGTTTGTGCACCCGCTGGGGTCCCTCATCCTGGGGGGGTCGCAATCTGGGACCCCTCGGGGATGTCGGACTGCCGATTCCGGGGCATGAGGCTGAAACCAGCAGTTCAACATCCCCCAAGGGCATAGCAGTGCTCAAAGCAGCCGAACCCAAGCAGGGCTCGGTGCTCCTAACCACTTGTCGCTCATTCCTAGCCACTCACTGCTCGCTCCTTAGCGCTGCTGCAGAGGCAGGAGACAATGCCACTGTGCTCACTGGCTGTGAGCCCAGCTCCTGGCTGAGGAGTGCTCTCGCTGTGGCAGTGCACTGACCACCAGGGAGCAGTTCCTGTGTATGATCTGCCTTTTCTCACCTGGCACATCTGCTTACCAATCCCAGATCTGCCCCCTGGTGGTCAATGCATATCTGTAGCGACCTGTAATTCCAGTCGTTCTATACTAACCATTGCTTAGGCTTTTATATATATAGATTTCCCCCAAAATTAATTTAATTAAGATGAACTGTTATTTCAAAATGGAAAATAAATTATAAAGAGGAAACCTTGGGGGTGTTATGGGTTATATTTTTTAAAATATATTTATTGATTTTTTACAAAGAGGTAGAGAGTTAGAAACATTGACGAGAGAGCTGAGAGCTCTCTATCAGCTGCCTCCTGCACACCCCCTACTGGAGATGTGCCCACAACCAAGGTACATGGCCTGGAATTGAACCTGGTACTCTTCAGTCTGCAGGCTGACACTCTATCCATTGAGCCAAACCGGTTAGGGTTATGGGTTG